AAAAACTATCAATTGAGATAAAACTCATTCGGCTATCACAATAGTGAAGGTGATGAAAAAAATTGATTAAAATTAATTAAATTAAAAATAGCTATGAACACTTTTCGATAGGCAAGTAATCATAGGCATATTTGTTTTTGAATTATATTTGATAAAACATATGTCTCATCGAGTTATCAGATCGGTGAAGGTCGATCTCCCACCGGCTCTTAGACTATATCGTTGTTTTTTATTACAGTTAATTTTCATATGCGTAACTTTAGAAATAAGTGATGTGGAGAACAAACAACTTCATTAAAGAAAATTGATTTTGGACTAATTCATGCCAAATCCACACATCTCCAAATGTGGGTTATTAAAATTGCTGAAAATTGGAAGGTCGACGGTACAAAATATATTGTCAAATATCAAGAAAAATTGCAGCATTGAGAGAAAGGCGGAATCTGGCGGAAAATAAGGTACTATAAATAAAATAGTGGAGAAGGATGTTCCAAGGACTTTGAAAAGGAATCCGAATCTCTCTGAACGTGTTGTTGCACCTGGAGTGTTGTGTTGTGAGCCTGTATTATTTTGGCCTGATTTGGCAACAAGCCATGGTGCAAAAAAGCGCAAGAGTTTTATACATAAAACGGAATCAAGATTGTACTAAAAGAGGCCAATCATCCAAATTGCCCAGAGCTCCAAACGGTCCAGCGTTATTCGGCCTATATGAAATCAAAATTAAAAAGAAATAAAATGCACACCTTCAAGAATAACGCAGTTCCACAGAATGTGGCGAAAACAGGCACAATCGATCAACGAAAGCACGATCCAGAAAATAAAGGTCGCACCATTCGCGGACAGCTAACCCTCTCTTCGTCGATTTGACAGCATCCACCCAATCGCTGACGTTATAATATACTTTTGTTTACATTCACTGTTGCCAACTTGATACTTGTAGCACCAAATTTAGTGGCTATTCAAAACGCGAAAATTTTTTACCGATTCTTTTGTACCGATTCAAACTCAAAAATTTTCGCGTTTTGAATACCACTAAACTTGGCGCGAAAAGCATCAAGTTGGCAACAGTGAATGTAAACCAAAGTATTTTATGACGTCAGCGATTGGGTGGATGCTCTCAAATCGACGAAGAGAGGGTTAGCGGTCCGCGAATGGCGCGACCTTTATTTTCTGGATCGTGCAAGTATTAATGGCGCAATCTTGTCATCTCTAAAGTACGGGTATTTTGGCGTGGAAATTAATTCTAATAATATTTATAAAAAATCTTTCATCTAAATACAAATAAAAGAAGGTTCTAAAAAAGTTTCGACTGAATTATTCATTTATCTATTTATTTATTTTTTTGGTCTACGGAAAAACGTTTTCTTACAGACAAATGAGAATAGAACATTTAGATATTTAGCTATGTGTGATATATTACAGAGTAGACTAATTATACATATTAATTTGTAATAATATAAAATAGCAGGTTTGGTAGCTGGCGAGGCCTAGTCTTCAGTCTGCTTTTGTGTACCTAGTTTCCGCTCCGCGCTGCGGTCAGGCTGTTGATCATGGTCGGTAAAGTCTGGTTTCCGATCCATGTTCCCGAAGACATTACTTTGTATGTGTGGCAGGCGGAAAGCTCTAGGTTCCCCTCCGCGATATGAACAAGCTGTTGCTCATGGTCGGAAAGAACGAGTTCCCGATCCATGATGTTCCCGAAGTCATTAATTGGAGTGTGTGGCAGGGGGAAAGCTCTAGTTTCCGCTCCGAGCTGTGGACAAGCTGTTGATCATGATCGGAAAGGCCGAGTTTCCGATCCTGGCTCGTATTGTCTTACGCGAAAATATACGAAGCCGAGTATAATTGTACTAAGCAGTCGTAGATATTTATCGTTCCCGGTTAAAGATATTAATTTATTTAGTTACAAAAAAGCGATTCAGATATGTCGAAGCAATCATAATGTTTGTAACAATCTTGGCATAACCATCGTGAAGTATCATGCATTTCAAAGTTTGATTTACAAATGCTCAGCACAACCGTGGCGCAGTCGGGGAAGTATGCGAGTCGACCAGGTTTAGCTCGTAAACTGAACAGAAATACAGTTCACCAGCTGAACGATAAGGTGCAATGTAAGGGTTTACATGTTATTTATTCAAAATGAAGTAAGGTTTTCTTAATGGTAAAAAGTGAGTCGGAGGTGTCAAAAAAGTCGTAATGCTTATTAAAGTCCTGGCATAGGCAACGAAAAGCATCATGCAATTCAAAATTTGTTCTACAAACAGTTTGCTTAATGGGCTTGTAATGTCTAGAAGGCCTATAAGGAATACAAAACGTGATCTGGTTCAGTAGAAAGGGACTGTTGACCATCCCGTTCAAGATCTTCATCATGCACAAAACCCCGAGCATCTCTCTACGGCTGTGCAGCGTTGGCAAATTTTTGAACTTCAAGCGGCTTTTGTACGGTGGGGGATTTAATGTCGAATTCCAAGGCAAATTATTTAATGCGAATAATAAGAATTGTTTCTGTACAGACTCGAGTCTGTCAGAGTGCATTTGATATCTAGGGTTTCATACAACGGACCCGTATTCTAAGATCGTTGTGAGTTCTTTAGCTCAACGTTTGATGAAAGCCAAGACGCCCTTGGCTCAATTAACACAAGAGTTTACATGGGACTAGAATTCAAGCTTAGGTTCCATGATAACGCCTAGATCGATGAAATTAGTTACCTGATCAACACTATGTTCACAAATGCGGCAGCAATATGATTGAAAGGGTCTTCTAGAGAAACACATAAATTTACACTTTTTCAAGTTAAGTGACATAGAATTTGCTTCGCACCATTTAAACACATTACTAAGGTCCACCTGTATTTGTTCCCTGTCGCCTGAAGCACCAATGAACTTAAATAACTTAACGTCGGCTGCGTACATTAAGCAATTCGAATACTTCAAAATATTTGGAAGATCGTTGATGAATAAAAGGAACCTTGAGGTACACCTGACGTCACATGAATTACACGAGATGAACATTTTTTAAAGATAACCCTCTGTGTCCTACAGGGCTGTACAAAATTGCATTATTCTATATTTCGATCGTAGTTCCGTTTTTCTAAGTTGCAAATTTGTTGACGAGAACGTTTCGATTGTTATTTTCGTGGGTTTAAATAACAAAATTTTATAAAAGACAAGTAAGAAAGTCTAAGTTAAATACCCAGCGCAAGTATTAAATATAAGATTTTCACCTTTCCGAAAGCTACTGCTGCATGGTAAGCCGGGTGTATCAATTTTGAGTAAATTAGCGTCCTTAAATTTCAAAATATTGAAGTTTCAAGCATTTATGAAATTTACCGTTACAGTAAAACCCGCTTAAGTACCTCTCGAAAAGTGTCAGCTTTTTGAGGTACTTAGGCGGGTTGGGTACTTAAAAGAACCTGCTTAAGTACCTCGATGCGGGTACTTAAGCGAACATAATTACTGATGTAGTTACATCTTCTTGTTAACTAACATAAATACTTGATTAACAACACTTAATGAAGTATACATAGTTTAAAACCAAAATCGTAGCATTATTTAAACACAAGTAAAGAAAAACTTTATTAAAGAAAATATATAGTGCAATGGTGTATAATTTTTAAAAGAATTAAATTGTTTAAAAAGTTAAAGTGGGACATATCATTTTGTACCAAATTCAAAATGATATTGTTTGCCACTTATGTTTATTTACTAATTTTTGAGATTTCCCCTAGCAAATACCTTATAAACATAAGCTTAAGATTTTGTAGAACACTTAAAAAAGAGACTCATCATAATTTCCAACTTTTTTCTCAGAAATGTTTTCTGAGTTTACAGTTTTATAGCCCATTCAATTTTGGTGTAAAATGTGCAAGTTTAAAGGGGCTAATAATTACCGTTGATTTTTAGGGATTTTTTTACAGAAGTTGTGTAGCGCTGCTACTGAATTTCAAAATACGTAATTATTTTAAGGAATATTAAAAGAGCACTTAAAAGGGGAAAACTCTAAGTACAATTGTAAATGGGGCACGAAAACTTTAGGTACTTAGGCGGGTTGGGTAAATAAGCGGGGAGGTACTTAAGAGAGGGATTTTCTTTAGATTATATTAAAAAATTCACGGTGTCCAAAAATGTTGGTTACTTAAGCGGGTTAGGTACTTAAGCGGGGGAGGTACTTAAGCGGGTTTCACTGTATATGATTTTTAGAATATTTCGTATTTCTCTAAACTACCGTTATATGGGATGTGAGCGTAGTTATTGCCCGATTTAAAAAATTTCGGCCATTTGGTATGATGTACCAATTCCAACAACTGCGCCAAGTTTGGAAGAAATTGGTGCAGCGGTTACCAAGATATACACATGTAACCAAAAGTGGGTGTGGCTACGTCGATTTTCCAAAAATTTATAATATTCTTATTTTTCGTCTAAAAATTATTGTAAATATCAATTTTGAATGAATAATCTTCAGTAGTTACTAAAATATCGCCGTTTTCGTATTTCTGAAAACTACCGTTATATGGGAGGTACGCGTGGTTACCATGCAGGGAAAGCTAATAGTTGTGAACTAGAATTCGACCGGATAGAGGCTGGTATTTTTAACATTAAAATTGTCAATTGTCAGGCTATGCATCAGCATCTACTAGTATAAATACTAGTATCATCATACCAGTTGATGAGATAGTCTGCCAATTCATGCCCCGTGAAA